TTAAAATCAGATACCCATTTACGGGTGGTACGAATTCCGTCCCCCTATGGTTCCAAAACTATAGTCCAAATTCCGTCCCGGGGACGGAGCAACTATGTTCGAATTCCGTCCTATAACTATGTTAGTAACTATTCTAACTAAGATATAATGTTTAAAAATATAGAATCCGGCAAAACAATCTTATGTCTAATTATATACAACTATGGATAGAACCTGATTTGCGTATATTTACGTTATTGGAAATACTATTGTCTATGTTGGATGATTATCAATGGAAACTCATAAATACGAGTAATAAGTATATGACATAATGTTTAAAACTACATAATACATATATTTGGAAGTTTCAAATTTACAATATAATAAGTAAAAGTTGTGGTTCGATTTCTCCCATCATATCTAATATACGTTTATGTCCCCCCAAAATTTGAGATATTTTCAACGAGCACAACCTATTCATTAATATAGATGCGTAACAATATTTATTCATTTACAACCTTCAATTTCTCTAATGTCCATTCATTCTTTGATGTATAAAACAATGTTTACTTTTATCCACTAATGCCAAGTCTTTGGTCTGCCCTGTTGTATAAATGTATAATATATTTTGATTGAATTTTCCATATTTTATATTTATTGTCAGATTTATTAAACTCCATTACACTTGCACCACAACTATGTTTATTTATCGTAAACAAATACTTAATTTGAACTATTCTGAATATTTCTAAATTGAATATGAAAAGTTTGGAAAAATTATGATTTTATAATTATAAAAATTACAAAATAATTTCAAAGTTTTCAAATTTTGATACATTTTGTTAAAATTTGGATTTAATATACTGTGAATTTTAAGCATACGACCCGATGAAAAAAATTGCATTGGTATTTATACAACAAAAAACTAAAAAAAGCGGGTAAGTGGATGTCGCTTTGCTGTACATTAGGTGGTGGGGTGGACTTCTGACTAGGGTAGGTTAGATTTGAATGCAATGATAGGTATCATTGTATACGAAAATTACATTACGGTTAAATTAAATAGTTAGTAATATATTCACCTTAAACTTTAAGAGAACGCCACACCCGCATGTGTTGTCTCCGTCTTACAAGTGCGTAACATAGCAAAAACTGTTCCACCTGGGAAAAAACCGAAAAAACTTACTAAAAAACGAATCTCTAAATTGTGTTTCTATCTCCATGGATTAAGGAGGGTTCAATCTTCACTATTTCAGTTCATGTTCACATATAGACAGTATAATTAAAGCCACTGTGGTGCTGTATAATTTTRTTAAAAATAAAGAAACTAAGTCAGGTTAAATATAAATAAAAAAATCGGGAAAGTGGGTATCGCTCTGCTTTTAAAATCATCATTTTTATGATTTGGTGACTTTTAGGGGCGCTAATATTATGTTGTGCCCATAGGTGGATAGGCCATTTTTGGCCTACCGGAAAATTTTAAAAAGGAGCCCCACATCAAAAAGAATTTAATAATATATGATATTAAAGGATCCCATTACCGAAATACGAAGGGTGGTCCACCGGGAAATGCCCGGTAGGCCTATCCGCCCATGGTTGTGCCCCGGATTGCATAATTTGTAGATCCGGTACTATGTAAGGAATCTTGTTTTATAATCTTTTATTTATCAACTGCTATTGTAAAAATATGTTAGGAGCCTTTTATTTAATTTTCAAATCTTAGATATAAAAGGAAAAACTTTTATGAATTTCTATCTAAGATAATTTGAACTTTGCCGTAATTTTTACGTAATAGTCAAAATTTGAACTTTAAATGCTTATAAAA